CTGGTCCTCCATCGCGGGTCCCTGCAGTGTTCTGTTGGCCTCTCTCAGGCACGTCGGGACTGCGTCTTCTTCGGCCTCTTCCTGGGCGCGGCCCGACAGGGACGGCGTCGGTCCGCGCGACTACTGCCCCATTGCGCTCCAGGCCTGCGCCGTGCGACGGGGATGTGGCCATGCGCGACGGTGGCAGATCCTTTCGAGCAGGTGGGCCCCCTGAAGGCTATTCACGGCAGCGGCAGCAAGCTCACAGGAGATCAGCCACGCGCAGAGGGGGGTGACCACGCGCAGAGGGGGGGGGAAGGGGGGGGGCTTATTAGAAGCACCCCTGCTTTTAGAATGCGCAGGCCGTATCTATGGACGTAAGGCCGGCGCCTTCTAAGAAGCAGCCTGCTTCTAAGAAGCCCCCCCCCTCCCCCCACCCCCCTCTGCGCGCCGCCAAGGAGAGCAACGGGCACTCCTCGGGTCAACGACTGTGGAGAGCAAGGAGGAGGAGGAGGAGGAGGAGGAGGAGGGAAGAGGAGGAGGAGCAGGAGGAGGAGGAGGAGGTCAACGATTCTGGGAGGACACGTGGCCCCAGAAGCGACAGAGGCGTAGCAGGAGGCCCCGCGCCGCCGCGCTTTTTTTGCCGCGTCGCCGAGCTCGGAGGGCGCGCTTCGGCGCTGGCGCTTGTTCTCGTTCCGGGCGCGAGGCTCTGGAGGGTCTGCCCGCCTCTTTTTCTCGGGGGCGGAAAAGAGGGGTGTGATGACTAGGGCCCTTCAGCTCTGGAGGGTCCCAGGGCCCCTTCAGCTCCCAGGGCCCCAGGGCCCCTTCAGCTCTGGAGGGTCTGCCTGCCTTCGGGGGCGGAAAAGAGGGGGGTGATGACTAGGGGGGGGGGGTGGGTATCATGGCGGGGGCCATGATATCTCTCCAGATTTCATGGCGCCTCTTCTTGTTTCATTACGTCCCTGGCCCCCCCCCAAAGGCCGCGCACATGCCGCCGGCCATGATTTGCACCCCCCCCTCTTGGACACCCCCCTCTTGGCCGCTCCCGAGTCTGCCCGCCTCCTTTTCGCTCCAGCGCTGCGGCCGCTGCCTGGAGTTCCCCGCCGGCGCTTGCGTCTGCCGAGGGGCTTTCTGGGCCCCCGATCCCCAGCCCGCGAGACCTCCGCCAGAATCCGCGGCGTCTCGGGGATTGTGGCGGCCCCGCGGATTTCGCGAGAGGCAGCTCTCCATATGGTTCTGTTTTGGGGCCTCAGCACTCCGCCACTGCCAGCGCTGGGTGGGGGTGCGTTTTGCCTTGCGCCCCGGATGCCGGGATGTTGCTGGCGTCTCGGCGCCCGTATTGGCCGCGCTGCAGTGCATCTCAGAGCAGCTAAGCCTTTGGCAGTAATGCAAATGTTGCGCTTTGCGCTTCCGCCCGTTCGTGTCTTTATTGGCCTGCTGTGTGCGCGCGACGTCTTTCGTTGAGGAGCTTGTGAGAACACCATGCCTTGTGTCTCCTCGCGCACTCATTTCTGGAAGCACTCTTGGCAATCTCTGGACGAGTTAGCTGCCTCAAGTCAAGGGCCACGTGGCCCAAGTTGGTGTCGATTCGGTTAGACTTCGCAGAGACAGCATTTCGGCAGCAAGCGGGCTGATGAGGTTGCCCGCGATGCTGGTGAATTTACGCGTTTGGGCCTTTGGTCTCGGCAACAGTTCAAGGCGAAAGACAAAGGTTTGACTGGCTGGAGGGGGAGGGATCAGGCGTTTCGGGGAAGGATTGGCTGCCTGTGACTGCGGCCATCTCGCTAGGCATCTCCGAGGCAAAGCCCCAGTCCTTCAGCTTGTGCTCGTGATGGACTGTGCTTTTGATATCGTCCGTTGTGTGCTGGAGGCCTAAAGGAATATGAGTACAGGGCCCAAGTTGCATGCGTGCTCGTGTCCCGCCTGAGCTGCATGAAGGTCCACTCGTGGTTGGATTCACTCGCTGCGCTTGTGTTGCTGCCTCGCGTGTCTATCTATAATCTGGCGTCGACCTGCACCCCGCGGGTTTCGGACTGGTCGGTCAAGTGTGTCAACAGACTCGCAGACGGTGAATTCACGTTCGGTGCTAAGGTGTATCGACCTTTGGATCACTTTAGAGTACAGGTACAGTACAACGCCCCAAAGTGGCTTCGGTATGGTTGACTCAGTCATGCCGCAGGTTGGGCCCAGGAGGAGGAGGAGGATGCTCTGCAGATCCTTCCTGATCGCATAGTGATCTGAGTGTTGCTCCTGTTGCCACCCCTGAGCTTTTCCGGACACGCGAGAAAGGAGACACCGAATAGATATTCGTTGCCTCGGGATGAATGGAAAAGTTTCCAACATGTGCGTATATAGCCAAACTGTTGGTTCTTCGGCAGCGCAATATACATTTGTGTTCGCCTATATATGCGCGGTTGATTCCTCAGCGAAGCCAGACAATCAAACAATGAGGGTTTCCACCGACACGACGTTGAGGTGCCCAGGCAGTGGGCGGGTGGTAATTGCATCATGAGGCCCCCCCATTGTCCCGGCCGCGTGGAAACATTGAGTACATGTCTGGAGATTGTCCACCCATTCGCGTTACATCACTTGCCACAGGATAGAGAAACGAAGTCCATGACAACAATATGTAAGCACAACATGATGCAGTCCCCGCCACCTGCAATCAATGAGCACACTTCAAGGTACCACGGCAAGGCGGGAATGTCACCACCAACCGAATTCAAAGCAGTTTACACGCTCCCAGCTGGTTGATGTCAGGCCAAGGGTTCGCCAACAGGAAAACATATCAGACAATGCGCTTTCGCCGAATTTTAGCACTGATGCCCCCCCAACTGCCATGTGGAGGCGAAATATTCGATTCACAGTGCCATCGCGAAACAAAACGAGATGCTTTCGAAGACGTCCCGAACCGATGCTTGAGCCCTGGCGGAGGAGGGAGGAGGGAGGGTGGGGGGACAAGGATGCCGAGGCGGAGGAGGAGGGATGAGAACGGAGTAGGAGTAGGAGGGGAAGGATGAGGCAGAGGATGGAGGATGATAATGGGGATGATGATGATGATGAGGAGGAGGAGGAGGATGAGGATGAGGATGAGGATGAGGATGAGGATGGGGATAATGATGCTGATGATGATGATGCTGATGCTGATGCTGATGATAACGATGATGATGGTGATGGTGATGGTGATGCTGGTGATGCAGATGATGATGACGATGATGCTGATGGTGATGACGTTGATGAAGATGTTGGTGACAACGGCGACGAGGATGATGACGAGGACTGTGATGGGAATGTGGTGATGGTGGTGGTCGTCGTGTTGGTGGTGACGATGATGGTGGTGATGATCATCATCACCACTAGCATCACCAACCCTCTCTCCATTCCTCGTGTCCGGGGTGGGGCTCGCCGTCTTGATTGTCGTCGTCGTTTGCCCGCATCATTCATGCTGGCTAAAAGAGCCGGCTCGACATCGATCCGATCCCAAAAGAGTTCAGATTCGATTCCGAGCCGATGCGGCGATCGCTGATTTAGAGCCCATTCAAACACACTTGATTGGATGTCTTCTTCGATTTGACTTCCCGATCGATGCTGCCCCCTACTGCGATGATGACGATGGTGATGGTGGCGGTTGTGTTTATAATGCTGCTGCTGTTGATGACGATGATGTTCACGGCGGTGACGATGACGATGGCGACGACAATATGATGATGCTGGTGATGGTGATGGTGATGATGCATATGGTACTGATGATGATGATGACGACGATGATGATGATGAGCTGTCGATGGTGATCGTGATGTTGATGACGATGCTGACAATGATGATGCTGATGACGATGATGATGATGATGACGACGATGATGCTAACGATTATGATGATGAACCTGTCGTTGATGATGATGAAGATGATGAAGTTGATGATGATGACGATGATCAGAGTATGGTGAGAGGAGGCAGTTGCTGATCATGAGTACCATGTCGATGCTGATGCTGATGATGTTGATGACGATGACGATGACGATGACGACGACGACGGCGACGACGACGACGACGATGATGATGATGATGATGATGATGATGATGATGATGATGAGTATGATGATGATGACGGTGGTGCAGGTGTTGATGATTATGTTGATGATGTCAATGTCGATGATGCTTATGCTGTTGCTGATGATGATCATGATGCTGTTGGTGCTGCTGCTGCTGATAATGATGATGTTGATGCTGATAGTGATGCTGATGGTAATAATGCCGATGGTGAAGATGGTGATGATGCTGCTGCTGATGATGATGCTGGGGATGTTGCTGACGATGTTGATGCTGATGCTGCTGATGTCGATGACGCTGACGATGATGCTGATACTAATGATGATGATGATGATGATGATGATGATGATGATGATGATGATGATGATGATGATGCTGATGATGATGCTGATGCTGATGCTGATGCTAATGCTGTTGCTGATGATGATAATATTGATGATGATGCTGATGCTGGTGAAGATGATGATTCGGATGAAAATGATGATACAGCTGACGAGGATGATGATGCTGCTGATGATGATGGTGTTCATGATGTTGCTGATACAACTGACGATGATGATGCTGATACTGATGGTGATGATTACGAGTATGATGATGATGATGATGCTGCTGCTGATGATGATGGCGATGATGATGCTGATGATGATGCTGATGCTGATGCTGCTGCCGATGATGATGCTGATGATGATGATGATGATGATGATGATGATGGTGATGATGATGATGATGATGATGATGATGATGATGATGATGATGATGATGATGATGATGATGATGACGCGGATGCGGATGCTGATGCTGATGCTGATGCTGCTGCTGTTGGTGCTGTTGCTGTCGCTGCTGCTGCTGGTGGTTGGCGGTGATGAGGTTGGTGATGATGATGCCGAGGAGAAGGAGCAGGAAAGAGATTACGACCACGGGCCGAACAGAGTGCCCGCGAGACCAGCGGGGGGGGGGCGCCTCCTCGTAGAGGTGCCGATGCCGCTCTGCCCCCCTGGCGTGACGTGCACCACGACCGAGTGGCGCGCCCCCCGCCGCAGCTCGCCGCCTCGCCCTCGTGGGCCCCTGCGTTCGGGGGGCGTCAGCTCGCCTCCTCGCCCTCGCGGGCCCCTGCGCTCGGGGGTCGTCAGCTCGCCTCCTCGCCCTCGTGAGCCCCTGCGCCTCCTCGCCCTCGTGGGCCCCCTGCGCTCGGGGGTCGTCAGCTCGCCTCCTCGTCCTCGTGGGCCCCTGAGCCTCCTCGCCCTCGCGGGCCTCCTCCCCCTCGTGGGCCCCGCCACCTCGCGGGGGAGAGACCGCGCGGCCTCACCCTCCACCTGGTCCCCCTTCCATCCTGGGGCTGTGCTGGAGAGCTTCAGCTCCCGTCTCGCGCAGAGGACACACCCCAAAATATGCAGTCAACCCGCACTGCAAGGCTGGGCAACCTTCCCGAGGGTACCCTGGCATCCTTGGGCCTTCGGCCCACCCTCAGCCGCTTTCGCTGGCCGCGCCCCGCCCGCACGGTGTCGACGTGGCCTTCCAAGGCCCTTGCATTCTTCCCGCGCATCCTTCTGATACGGGCTGACGGTGCCCCACCCCGCCTGCCCTGCCCCCCCCCCCTCCCGTCTCTTCCTGGAAGGGGGGGGGCCGGGTGCTTAGTGGGCCCTGGAAGCGACAGGGCCGTTCTTGTTACCGGTTCCGTTTTGCCGTTTTTGTTGCCCGTTCCGACGCCGTTTTTTTATTGGTTCCGTCGCCGTTCTTTTGCGGGTTCCCGCTCCGGTCCCAATTTTGGAGCCGTTTTTGTTGCCGTTTCGGGTCGCCGTTTTTTTGCTGTTTCCATTTTCAGGGGGCACTTTCTCGGAAACGGTGAAAAAACGGCCCTGCCGTTTCTGGGGCCCATTGAGGCCGGGTGGGAGTGAAGGTGCTCGCTTGCTCCCCACCTGGCCGGGCCGGCCCAGCGGCCCAGGGTCGGTGCCTGCGCCGCCCACTGCCAAGCCAGGAAGGCGTATGCACTCATCCCGGGCCCAGGATGAGCCCGGCCAGGATCGGTGAGTGGAGCAGGCGGAGGACGTGGACGCAAATCGGGGGAGGAGAGTGAGGAGGAGGAGGAGGAGGAGGAGGAGGAGGAGGGCTAGGAGGAGGTAGGCAGACAAGAGGTTTGGGGATGATGATGTGGCGTTGAGGAAGATGGACGGGAGGCACATGGCGGGGATAGGGGTTACCAAGTAGATCGAGGAAGGAGAGATACGTGTTCGCTGATGGTGGTTGAACGATGATGGTTACTGGATGATGATGTTTTTACTGACGGCTGCCCTTGGGGTAATTACGATTATGATGATTGGGATGAATAAGTGACCAGGGACGGTGATGATGACGATGTTGAGATTTATGATGTTGCTGTTGTTGTTGATGTTAACGAGGCTGCTGATGACGAGGATGGTGGTGGTGATGATGATGACGACGATCGTGATCACGAACATGATTACGATGTCGAGCTTGTTATGGTGGTTGATGCTGATGTTGTGGTTGATGACGGGGTTGAAGATTCTGGAGTCGACGACTGATGTTTTGCAGCAGGAGCGGCAGCAGGAGCAGCATCATATTCTCTACGCGCGCGCGCGCGTGTGTGTGTGTGTGTGTGTGTGTGTCTGGTTCTGGCTGCTGGCGGCTGCGAGATCCAAAGTGGTCTCTGAGTTCGTGCGGGCTTTGACGTGAATGCGAATTGCTGTTTTCCTACCGTCTAGGCCCTGTCGCTGCGCGCTGGGCCGCGACACCAGAAAGTGTGTGTGTGTGTGTGTGCGTGTGTGTTATTGTGTGGGTGGGTGGGGGGCTGAGAAGAAGAAGAGGAGCACGCGGGGGAGGCGACCTCTACAGTCCCTTGGAGGTCTCAGGATGTCCCGGAGCCGCCTACGGAGGCCTCGGAAGGCCAGGACGAGCATTCCCAGGCACCTCGAGCTTGCCCTGTCCCGCCCTCCCCTCACGCTCTTGGTGGATACAGCCAACCCGCATAAGAAGGATGGGCAGCCTTCCCAAGGGTATCCTTGCATTCTTGCCTCCTCGGTCCATCCTTGGACGCTTTCGTTGGCCGCGCCCCGCTCGCTAAGAGTGTCAGCATGGCCTTCCAAGCCCCTTGCATCCTGATCGTGCATCCTTCTGATACGGGTCGACTCTAGTAGGGCCCCCCCCCCCGCCCTCCCCTCCCATCCCCCTCGTGGTGGACCGGACCCCCTCCCACCCGTCCTCCACTCCCCTCGTGGGCAGAAAAACATCTCCGCAGCCGCGGCCTCGCGGGCCGGACCCCGTGCCGCGACCTTGCGGGTGAGGGGAGGTTTTTGTTCCCAGGCGCCCCGCGCGGTGCGTGTCCGTGCGACCGCGCATCCGTGGGATCGCGCCCCGGAATCTCACCGCCCACCAAACCACCCCAACCCAACCCGAAGGCCCCGATTTGCCCTCCATTCCCAGTGGGGGAGGGGGGTCGGGGAACATTGGAAAAGCACGTGTGAAGCGCGTACCCACCCCAACCCCCCGAAGTTGGGGTCTTCGGGTCAGGTTGGGGTTGGGCGCGGCCGTGAATGCGTCTGCTGCTCGCGATCCCCCTCCCTGGAGGAGGAGGAAAAGGAGAAGGAAGAGGAGGAGGAGGAGGAGGAGAAGGAGGAGGAGAGGGAGGAGGAGGAGCAGCAGGAGCAGCAGGAGGAGGAGGAGAAGGAGGAGGAGGAGGAGGTCCAAACGCCCAGTTGGCGGGGGGCCCGCCGCAGGAGGGGCCACCTGTCGGACCCGAGCGGCTACAGGGCCGAGCCCCCCCCCGGAGCGAAGGCGCGCGGCGGCCGCATAGGGTGCTCGCCGTCGTCGTCGCCGTCGGCTTCGTCGTGGTCAGCGTCGTCGGCGTCGTCGTCGTCGTCGGCGTCGTCGGCGTCGTCGTCGTCTTTGTCGTCGTCATCGTTGTCGCCGTCGCCGTGTTCGCTGACGTCGTCCTGGCCACCGTCGGCGTCGTCGTGTTCGTCGTCGGCGTCGTCGTCGTCATCGTCGTCGCCGTCGCCGTGTTCGCTGACGTCGTCCTGGCCACCGTCGGCGTCGTCGTGTTCGTCGTCGGCGTCGTCGTCGTCATCGTCGTCGCCGTCGCCGTGTTCGCTGACGTCGTCCTGGCCGCCGTAGTCGTCGTCGTCGTCGTCGTCGCTGTCGGTCGGCGTCGTCGTCGTCTTTGTCGTCGTCGTCATCGTCGTCGCCATCGCCGTGTTCGCTGACGTCGTCCTCGGCACCGTCGTCGTCGTCGTCGGCGTCGGCGTCGGCGTCGGCGTCGGCGTCAGCACCGTCGTCGTCGTCGTCGTCGTCGTCGTCGTCGTCGTCGTCGTCGTCGTCGTCGTCGTGGCCGAGAGCGGCGAGGGAGGGAGGTTTGGTTTGGAGGGATCTCTCGAGCGCTCAGTTGCCTCAAGCGGTGCGCGCTCGGAGCAGGAGCGCAGCAGAAGCCACAGGCCAAGCGTGGCACTGACAGTGTGGCCCCGCACGCGTGGCGGGTGCGCTCTGGCGAGCAGGGACCTGCACTTTGTGGGCCCCCGAAACGGCAGGGCCGTTTTTTTCACCGTGTCCAGATTGAAATGGAAATGGCAAGAAAACGGCGACCGGAAACGGCAAACAAACGGCTCCAGGAATGGAACCGGAGCCGGAACCGGTCAAAAAAACGGCGACGGAACCGGTAAAAAAACGGCGTCGGAACCGGCAAAAAAATGGCAAAACGGAACGGGTAAAAAAACGGCCCTGTCGTTTCCAGGGCCCACTAAGGCCCCGCACGCGTGGCGGGTGCGCTCTGGCGAGCAGGGACCTGCAGAGCCCCGGGGCAGCGAGGCACAGCCAGTGCAGCTCGGCATCAACACGGCGGCCAGGGAGCCCCCGCGGCACGTTTACGAGCGTTGCCTCGTCTGGCGGGTGTGGGCAGGGGACGCGTGGAGTGCACCAAGTGCACCGAGAACGCGTTGTGTGCGCAGGGGTCGGAGAATCCCAATGGGGCTCAGAGTATCTGGGCAGCCCCAAAATAGGGGACCCAGGCAAGACGGGATGGCGGCAGAACGTTATCCGGCGTTGATGTTCCTCGCGGGCCTGATTGCTTCCTTCCGCTGCTCGTTCCAGTGCGTTCCTGCAGACGGTCCCGGTGCATGCCGAGACATGGCGCAGACGGCTGACGGTCGCTTCGGATTGTTTTGTTCGAAGACCTCGGCGGCTCATCGGCAACCTCCGAGAGAGGTCCAGGGAGGATCTGTATCGGTATCTTCGGGGCTCAAGAGACGGGGGTCACTGCAAACGGGGGTCAGTCAGAGCGCCAGATGTTGCAGGATCCTGCAGAACCAGGGCTGCATTGACCCGTGCTTGGGCGCAGGGTCCTGCAGGATCCTGCAAGGCCAGATTGCCCCAGGTCTGCATTAGTCGGGGGCGCGGAAAAGAGGGGGGTGATGACTAGGGGGGGGTGGATATCATGGCGGGGGGCATGATAGCTCCCCAGATTTTCTGGCGCCTCTTCTTGTTTCATTGCGTCCCTGGCCCCCCCGCTGGGCCGCGCACATGCCGCCGGTCATGATTTGCACCCCCCCCTCTTGGACAACCCCCCTCCTGGCCGCTCCCGAATTAGGCCAGGGTCAGTAGATCCCCGATACCCTTTCGATTTTCCCATAGACCACTCGAGTCGCGAGTAGAGCACAGCGAGATCCCCGATGCCTGTCGATTTTCCCATAGGCCCACTCGAGTCGCGAATAATAGAGCACAGCGAGAAGTCTTCGGCCGTCGTCGGCCTCCGGGGGCCCTCAAAAGGCCCCCACAGGGCCGTGAAGCAGCGACTCGGCGCGAACTCGCAGCCCTGGGGAAGGGGTCGAAACCTCCATGGGGTCCATGTCTTGGCATCGCTCGGACGTGTGCATTTTTCCTTCGGCGAGGACCATCGAGGAGCATCCTTGATCATTTGGCGAAAAACCACGCACGAAACCGAAAAAACACAGGGGAGCCTCGAGACGGGGGTCAATGCAGACGGGGGTCAGCCACGGCACCGGATCCTGCAGGATCCTGCGAAGACCCCCTCTGGCTGACCCGGGTCAGGGAGCCGCTCGTGGCTGCGGGGCGGCCGCGCCTATTGGCTGACCCGGGTTTGCGAGGACCTGCGTTGCAGTTTTTTTTTTTCCTGCATTGCATTTTTTGGTTTCCTGCTGACCCGGGTCTGGATTGACCCGGGTCAGAAGATTCCCGATCCAGGGGTCCATGTCGTCCACGCTGTTAGACAATGGGGTCCGGTCAGATTGGTCAAAGGATCGCGCCGCGTCGCCGATGTATCGGGGATGCTGCTCGACGTGGAGCCTGGGCCGGATGTGCCCCACGCCGATGTCGCCGATCGCCGCCGTCGCCGATGCATCGCCGATGCATAGTCGATGCGGCGCGAGTCCTTCGACCCCACCTGCGCGGACCCTATAATTGCGAAGGCCTTACGGCCGGTGCCGCCGACCCTGAAGACGACGACGATGAAAGGGAGGGGGGGGTGGGGGGCAGGGGGAGGAGGAGGAGTGGCAGGAGGAGGAGGAAGGGGCGCAGGAGGTGGATGAGGGAGGAGGAGGAAGGGGCGCAGGAGGTGGATGAGGGCGGGGAAGGAAGAGGAGGAGGGGAGGAGGCTCTTGGAGC